TACAATAAAAACTCCTGAATTTATTCTCATAAATTAATAAATTTACTTCTTAAAATTTCCGGCTTAAACCGACGCTCCTTTTTCCTCCATTTTTAACACGAGCTTATTTCTGCGCATTAACAATTTCTTAGAATACTCTTTTGTAAAATTTTACTATATTTTTCACGGACGTAATCCACACGAATAAATAGTTTTATAAATAATTTTACCGGAATAATAATGATAATAAATTATTGATAATTTTTACAGGATATTTTCGATATGACTCCCCAAGCAGAAATTGGCAATTAAATTAGATAATAAATTATAATTTGACTCAATGTAAAAATTACGTGCCTCAATTTTCCTGCGGGTGTATCAGACTTATCTGCGTCGAAATTTAATAAATTAATTCTCAACAATTAATAACACGTGGAATAATAAATTTCTAGTAATTTACGAATGACGATTAGATTATAAATAATTCACCTCAGTGTGAAAATGTAATCTCAAAAAATTATCCACGGTCTTAAATTTCTAAATGCGACGCAGTTTTCCTCAATAAATCAATTCCGGTAATTAAAATTGTTCCGAATGAATAATTAAATAATTTTCCATAAATAATAAATATAATAATATAATTAAGTGGTAATTCAATTGCTAAAATTAGTCCATGTATTTATTTTATAAATCTACGGCTTCATCAAATTCTTAAGGAATTTGCGTGCTCAAGATGGACGCCGTTACTGCTGCGTAGTAGCTTGACCTCGGGTACTGAGAGACGCTTGACTGGTCGTGAGCTATGACTGGAATGTTTTCTCGGTGTTCAGAAAATTATACTAATAATTTGTTAATAAAAAATGAATTCATTAATGCCAATCAAAGGTGTTAATTATTATTAACCAGCTGAATTAATAACTTGATTACTCACGACCAAACCCCGGAGGTCTGGAACATTCCTCGAGTGTAACAATCCCCTGGAGGAATTGTTCTCAAAGCTAACAAAAATTAATTTAATTCAAATAGTTAAATTATTATTGAATAAAATATTATAAGACGAATTGAATTACCATTAATTAATAAATGAGAAGTAGTATGGAAATTGAGCCCCGTGTGATCCCCAAGGCTCAACACTACCAAAGTCCAATACCTGGCGTCAATTGGTTTGAAGGAACTCTTTGGTTGCTAATGGCTTCCTTCTTGGACTCCTCGATGTTACTTGTTTCAACACTACACCACTTCTCCCGATACAACGCACTGCTCAGCTATTTAATGGCTCCCCGAAATACCCCCTCCTACTCTCTTTCTAGGGCCGAAGATCGATGCGCCAAAATGCTAGTCGACAAAGTTATCGATCTCTGGCGACTTATCGATTAAGGGTAATTTACCCTGTTACACTGGTTAAGTTGAGACGGGCATCAAGCATCACTCCCAAATATCGGATAAAAGGTTGTGATGTGATTTCTTGTTCGCCGACTTTCAGCTTGATGGTCTCTAACGCTTTTCTGCTGGATATAAGCACTGCCTCAGTTTTGTGTGTAGCCAGATGCAGGTTTACCGTATTCATCCACCGATGGACTCGCTCGAAGGTGATGTCGAACATGTTGTTAATCTCGTCAAGGTGTTTAGCGACGATTACTACGGCTATGTCGTCTGCATACGCTACGAGTTTTACACTTCTTGGCAATTTCAATCTCAATAGGCCATCGTACATGATATTCCACAGCAGTGGACCAAGTACAGAGCCCTGGGGTACACCTCCGGTAATATCGTACTCTTTTTGACCATTTTTTGTGTCGTATTTAAGCACTCTATCGGTGAAATAGCTGGCCACTATTCTACACAGGTATTCTGGAACGTTTTTCTCTCGATAAGAGCTTGCATGATGCAGTTCCAGTTGGCGGAATTGAAGGCGTTTTTAATGTCTAATGCCGCCACCAGGCAATACTTCTTTGTGCCACCCTTCCATCTGGTTCCTGCGATCGCTTCTTTAGCCGTGCTAACAACCAAATTGATCGTCCTTTCCGGAATCCATACTGGTTGTCTGCCAGGAGTGGGTCGACTACTGCATTTATTCGTTGATGAATTATGCGCTCAAATATCTTACCCGCCGTATCTAGCATGCAAAGTGGTCGGTAAGATGACGGTTCTTCTGGTGGTTTCTTCCCTTTAGGTAACAGTACCAATCGTTGCTGTTTCCACTTACGAGGAAAAGTCCCCTCCTTGAGGCATGCATTATAAGCGTCTAGGAATAATGTTGGAGCTGCCTTAATGATGGTTTTTAAGGCTAAATTAGGGATTCCGTCCAATCCCGGCGCTTTATTATTCCCTACACGGTTACAAGCCTCCAGCAGTTCTTCTTCAGTGACAGTTGGGATGTCGTCCAATTCGCCTGGCGCCAACTGGTAATCGAAGTTGCGTTGCTGTGGAAACAGTGCAGTGACGATTTTCTGAAGAAATTGGGGACACGTAGGTGATGGCATTTGTTGTTTTTTCAGGTGGGTCATAACCACCTTATAAGGCCTACCCCACACGTCTTTATCCACCTCGTATATAAGCTCTTTCCAGCATCTTCTTTTGCTCTCTTTGATGGCTTTATTCAGTTCACGGCGCGCCTTTTTGTACTCTGCGATCAGCTCCACTGAGTTGGGCCGTAGATAGCCGCGCTGAGAGATTCTTCTTTTCTTATGACACTCTTTACGGAGGACGCTGATGTAGTCGTTCCACCAATGCACCGAAGGTCTCGAATTTATGCCACGTTTACGAGGCATACTGGCATCACAAGCATCTGTTACTCTCCTCATCAGGTCCTTAGTCTGTTCTTCTGCACATCCAATGTTGATCGGATCAACATCGAGGGCTATTAGTAATGCTTCTGGATCAAAAGTTTTTACCTTCCAGCCAACGATGTTAGACTGCTCGACTGGTCTCTTGGGGTTCTGGTCGCGTGATATTTCCCAGAATATCGCATGATGGCCGCTGGCAGTGTAGATGTCCAACACTTTCCAGTTGCAGTCGCCTCGAGCAAGGCTATTACTGACAAAAGTGAGATCTACAATTGAGCTTGTTGTGTGTGTGTGTGTGTGTGTGTGTGTGTGTGTGTGTGTGTGTGTGTGTGTGTAAACCTCTTATAACTTTTGAACGGCTCGGCCGATCGGATCGAAATAACTGGCGATCCAAAGAATATCCTTGTCATTAAATTTCGTAAAAATTTGAATCGATTCGGTTTGCTAGATTTTGAGAAATCTCAAAAATAAAATTTTCAAAAAAATCGTTTTTTTTGGAATAACTTCTAAACGGCTTCACCGATCAATTCCAAAAACTAATCAGCTTTTGAGCTTGAAAAACCACGTCGATTGCCACCAGTCCCATCAAAATCGGTTGATTCGTTCGAAAGTTATCAAAAACGAAAAATTTCAAAAAAAAGTTTTTTTCACATAACTTCGAGATTTCTTTTCGGATCGTTTTTGACGATATGAAATAATTATTAGAGCTCAAAAAATTACGTCGATCGCCATCAAGAACGTAGAAATTGGTTAATTGATTCGTGAGTTATCGTTGTCGAAAAAATTCGGAAAAAGTGAATTTTTTTAATTTCTCTAAGATTTTCAGTTCGATCAGTTTGTGTTCAAAAGTATATCATAGATTTTAAAAAACTACGTGGAATTCTGCCAACCGCAAAAAAATCGATTCATTCATACAGAGATTATTGCAGTTTGAAAATTCAAAAAATACTGTTTTATGAAACTTCTAACAGACTTTTGAGCTCGAAGAGCTCAAAAGCATATCAAAGCTATTTCTTTGAGCTCGGAGAGCTCAAAACAACACACAAATAGTATTTTTGAGCTCGAAGAGCTCAGAAACGTCATAAGTGCAATTTCAAGCGTTTAGGTATGGAATTGGCGGGAAGTTGCAGGGATGGCCTTTAGGGTCAACCGTTTTCCAGATTTTTTTTTTTGCGATAACATTAAAACTATTGTGTCGATCGATTTAAGAATCTAATCAGCTCTTAACGTCACAAAAAACATTAATTGCCGCAAACCGTATCAACATCGGTTCATTCGATCAAGAGAAATCGTCGAAAAATTAAAAAAAAAAAAGGATTTTCATACATAACTTTAGAATTTCTGCTTGGTTCGTTTAGCAAGTCAGGAATAATCTTTTTAAGCCTAAATAACTGCCGCAATCCACATCAAAATCGGTCGATTCATTTAAGAGATATCGTTATCGAAAAATTTCAGAAAAAGTGTTTCTTTTTTTTTTTTTAAATAACTTCAAAATTTCGTCTCAGATCGTTTTTTGATGCAATGAGATTTATATTAATGCCCAAAAAACTGCGTCGAACGCCGCCAAGTTCGTCAAAATCAGTCACTTGCTTCGTGAGATATTTAATTTAAAAAATTAATACGTGCTTGTTTAATAATTTTTCAATTCTTCATCAAATCCAATTTCTTTTTGAGAATTTTGTAAAGTTCTCTTAACCGCGCTAAATTAACTAAATACAATAATTATCCTTCTGTCAATATGGATGGTGGAAGTTCTTCAGCCGATTTTTCAACTCGTGAAAACTTCGTTTTATGAAAGTTATGTTTTTTAGTATTATTCAGTCTAAAGTATTAGTTTTAGATGTAATAATAATCAAATACTTCTCTCAAGATAAAAATATTTCATAAAATAATTATATACAGTAAAAAAAAATTATTTAATAATAAGTAAACAAAATTAGTGCAAAATAATGTACTCAATTTCATAAATTTATATTTATAGAGCGTAAAGTTGCACATTAATTTTTTAAATAGCTTAATCTAAATTATTATGTTTTTTCCCGTATTACCGATGTCAAATACTTCCGTTACAAATACACAACAATAAAGTATACAAAATCGTTCAAAACATGTATTGTTACTGTATGCCGTCATAAGTTCAAGTATATCTAAAGATCATCAGAATAACTATTATTAGATTCTTTTTGAATCAATAGTATAAAAAGTAGCTACCTGAGCAGTAGGATGTAAATAAAAGCCGGCATACTTCAATGGTACTGACGCAGGAAAATGTTCCTTTTATTTTTATCTTCGTTAGTGATATTCTCGAGTATTTGTTTTTGGACTCATCAAAAGCCTCACAAATTTCCACCAGGTAAATTGAAAACAACTTTATTAATTAAATAATTTAATATATATTTTTACTAAATATCGTAATAAATGTATAAATCAAATAATTATTTAAACAGGTCCCAAATGGTTACCGATTGTTGGATGTATGTTTAAATTTCAAGAATTGAAAAATAAATGTGGTTATATGTATATTGCTATCAATGAATTATCTCAAAAATATGGATCTATTTTAGGATTAAAACTTGGTTGTCAAAAGTTTGTGATTATCTCAGGTAATGATTTATTGAGAAAAACTCTTATGAAACCTGAATTCCAAGGAAGACCCGATGGCTTTTTCTTCCAAGTTAGAGCATTTGGCAAAAGAAGAGGCATTCTGTTTGCGGATGGTCCATTATGGTATCAAAGTAAACGTAACACAATAAAATATATATCTCATATTGGATTCAGGCATCGCTTAGTTGATAAATATTTAACAGAAGAAGCAGAAACACTAGTGTGTTATTTGAAAAAAAAAATTACAAACAACAAAGAGAAGATCGCAATGAATAAAATTTTTGACGTTGCTGTTCTAAACTCTCTATGGGTTTTATTAGCAGGATACAGATTTGATTACGATGATGTTAGACTTCATAATATCCTCACAACTATACATGAAGCATTCGAGTAAATTTTTTGTTCGACTTTAACAAAGCATTGTTGTAATAATCAATCCAATAATTTATTTTTTTTAGATCAAATGACACGTTAGGAGGACTTATTTCTCATTTTCCATTTCTTCGGTTTATCATACCAGAAATATCAGGGTATACTAGCCTCATGAAAACTCTTCATAAACTTTGGAAATTTATTGATGATGAAATAGAGATCCATTTGAACAAAATTCAGCTACATCAACCAGCGAGCAATTTTATCGATGCATATCTTCTTGAAAGATATGATGAAAAATCAAGACAATTTTCTTATGATCGTAAGATTTTTTTTTTTTTGTAGTTTCAAGCTTGAAAATAAGTCATTGGAGAAATGTTTAGCGAGTTTACTGTATACCTTTTTTTTTGACACACAATACTTTCAACACTTCACGTACTAGTGTCTAAAAACCTCCGTTCTAAAAAAAATGTTCTTTGCCGAATTGTTTTTTGTTTCCCAATGTTTCAAACATTTCTAATAAATTAGTTTTTTTTTTCTTTTTAGGGAAAGAATTGATTGTAATATGTCTGGATCTATTTTTGGCTGGTTCTAAAACAACAATTGATTCATTATCAGGCATATTCGCTCTCCTCGTTCACCATCCAGATTGGATTAAAATGTTAAAAGATGATCTCGATATGGTTGTTGGTAACAATATGCCAAAAATCGATCACCTACCGATGTTACCTCGAATTGAAGCTTTTTTATCTGAAGTAATCTAAATATTTTTGACAAAAGTAAGAAGAAAATATTATCAGTAATATATATTATTTAACTAATTTTTGTCGTAGGCACTCAGAGTATTAGTTCTTGCTCCTTTAGCTCTTCCTCACAGAACAACAGAGAATGTTTGGTTGGAAGGTTTTCATATTCCAAAGGTAATAATAGTATCTCAAGCTCATGAAAAATATTAATGTGAACTATCATTTTTCAGTATGTTTTATCGTTTTTAGGACACTGTTGTTCTCTTCAATTTTCACAGTGCAAATTTTGATGAATCATGTTGGGAAAACGCGGAGGAATTTTATCCGCAACGGTTTCTTAATGAAAGTGGACAATTTTGCCGTAAAATTGAATTTTTTCCATTTGGATTAGGTAACTCAATTTAATTATTTATGAGGCTAGCTGAAAAGAAAACCGGCTTTCATTTCAAGCCTCCTATGAACAAATATTAGCTTATCATGTTGTCAAAAGCTCTTTCCAAAGATCAGCTCAATATAAAATTTTTTAAGGAATCGCCCAAGATTTTTAAGATTAAAAATTTTTTTAATTTTTAAAAAACTTGAATGGGTCCTGAAAAAAATTTTTTTTCCAGTCTAATCTTTAGAGAAGACTTTTGAAATATGATAAATTAAGTAGATCGGACATTAAGGCAATGTAAAAATTAAATATCTAAATAAAAAGTAAATAAATCTGACGAATAGTTTTTGAATAATTGAGTATTTAAAATCAGACTCTTAACATTTAATCTATAGTGTGCCAATATTAGTCAAACACATTGATTTTGAATGATTACACCGAATCTATTAAAGATAAGAAAACAAAAAACTACACGGAAACAAATCAAGTACTGCAATAAGACGCAAGCGTGTGAGAGCAACAGGACTTAATCTATGGGAGCAGCCAGATAAAATCCTGTGATAGCAGCAATATTTTTCCTGTAGGAGACACAGGAAAAAAATGAAAAATTTTAAATAACGTTTACTTTTAACAAGTTTACAACGGACAAAGTCGGGAGTGCATTCGAAGTAAATTTTCATTTTTATCACTCAAAGTACGGGAATAACTAAATTATAAATTATTTTTAATCACTTAAAACAAGTTTCATACATAAATTTTTTTTTTCGTCAAGATTAGAAAATATTTAAATTTTCAAAAAAATTGGAATTTTGACAAAATTTCAAACAAAAAAAATTGTCACTGTAAGTAATTTATAATAATAATTTAATTAGGGGATACAAGAATTTTCTATTATATACGTAATTATCATCAAAAAGTACGATAGTAGAAGAAACTTTTTTTTTTAATTGAATTTTCAAATATCATTTAAAATTTTCCATTTTATCATGTCGTTTCCATAGAAAAAATCCTGTTGTAACAGGATTTTGTCCTGTTGTAGCATTTATTTTTTTCCGTGTTTTATTTATATAAGTCGCTTCTTGTAGACTATGATAAAATTAAAAAAAAATATTCTAACAAAGGGTTTCGTTAATATCTTAATACAAAAAATTGTTATTAACAATATAACTATGAATAAAAATGAGCTAGCGATAGAGAAAGGCAGCACTGCGAATAAAAAGGAAAACAAAGGTAAAAACTATGCCGTGTCCGATCTAACTTAATATATGCCTTAAGGGGTCAAGCAGGATAAAATTGCTTTTTTTAATATCTAATTTATATTCTATAGGAGTGTAGATATTATTGAAATATTATGATCTTGAAAATTTCAGACTTTGTTCTTCTCTCAGTTCTCAGATTGGTTAGACCAAATTGTATGAAAATTTTATATCATGCAGACGATACAAAGCTTTTATAGACACCACGGACCGATTTTTGGCTTAACAATAGTCAAAAAATTTATTTTGTGTTAATTTTTCCTATAATATTTTGGAGCAAAATTATGATTCCATGATTTTTAAATTTTCATAAGTTTTAAACTAATTCCGAATTTTTTTTTTAATTTACGTAAATGTACACGATAGTTAAAAAAAAAAAAGACCATTCGGCAGTCGAAATGGATGTAGATTTCCCAAGTTAAATTTTTTTAATTTCTGTTCATTCTTATTTCAGTACAAAGTTTTTTTTTTTATCATAAGTGGTTCGGCAGTTATTCCCGAAAATACTAAAAAAAATCATGAACTTATGATAACATTTGCTATAATGGTTTCATTTTTTGAAATTTACTTGAATTCGACATTCGATCGTCTACCTATAGACCATAAAAAATTATTAAAAAATTAGGAAAACGGTTGACCCTAAAGACCATCTCTGCAACTTCCCGCTAATTCCATACCTAAGTGCTTAAAATTGCACTCATGTTTTTGAGCTCGACGAGCTCAAAAACACATTTTATGTGTTATTTTGAGCTCTCCGAGCTCGAAGAGTTAGCTATTCTATGCTTTGAGCTCTTCGAGCTCAAAAGTCTAATAGAGGTTTAATTAAAACACTATTCTTCAAATTTTTCAAACTGCAATTACTTTTGAATTAATAAACCGATTTTCACGCGGTTGGCAACATTCAATGCAGTTTTTCGAATTTTATGATTAACTTTTAAACACAAATTGATCAGACCGAAAATTTTAGATAAATTTAAAAAGTTCACTTTTTCCGAATTTTTTCGATAACGATAACTCACGAAGCAATAAGTCGATTATGACGTGTTGGAGAAGATTGACGTAGTTTTGTGAGCTCGTATAGTTATATCATTACATCAACAATAATCTGAAAAGAAATGTCGGAGTTATGTTAAAAAAACACTTGTTCCCAAATTTTTCGTCAACGATATCTCTCGAGCTAGTCAACCGATTTTCACGTTCTTGGCGGCGATAGACGTGATTTTTTGAGCTCTAATAATTATTTCATTTTATCAAAAAATATCCGAAAAGAAAGGTCGAAGTTATGTAAAAAAAAACGAACGAAACAACACACACACAGTTGCACGGACACCACCGTAAAAATAGTCAAGGAAGATTTCGAGAACCTCAAAACGCCGAGATCTGACGAAAACTCGATTTCTGCATAACGGGGTAAAACCAATAACTTCCCGAATTTTTTAAAATTTTCAATTTTTCTAAGCGGGAAGTTAAAAAATCAAAATATTTTCGGAAACGAATGCAATAACAAATTTGATAAAGTAATATTGACCTGATTAGGTAATTTCAGGTCTAAATATATATTCGCATATGAAAATTAAAGCGTATTAAAAGTGTTTTCAGATGCTATTATCAGAAATTTGATAAAATATCGCATTCAAAAGTTTTTTAAGGGAGAAAGTGAAAAAATATGAATTTTTAGGATTTTGAAAATTTTAACATCCCGTCATTTCTAAACTTGTTGGCCGATTAAGCTCATCTTCGAACTTGACCATGGTATTTATCGATAGATGAAGCATGTTGAGTTTGGAAAAGATCGGTAATTAATTGAAAACGCTATCGTCGTGACAAGCCACGTTCTATCGTATACATACATATACATATATGAACTTTTGTATTTGAACCATATGTATTTTCTGAATCAGCTCGACAAACTGAGTGGGAAAATGGCAAAATTTTTCAGATGTTTCGTCATGAGGACCAATGCAATAGTTAGATTTTAATGAAATCTACTAAAAACTCGGTCCATATAATGTCTATTATACCTATAATCCCGAAGTCTGACCAACTCGCGGCACAGTGAAATTTTCGTGAATTTTCACAATTATCTCAAAAACTGATTTAAATTAAAGTCTGGAATTCCCAGGATCTTAGACTTTAAAAATGACATTTTTACTCTGTTTATCCCCCAATAAACCCTTTGCCCGCTTATTAGTAATAGAATATTGACAATTTTGAAATTTGTAATTATGCTATTTTATGACAGGAAGAAGAAGATGTTTGGGGGAAAGCTTAGCAAAATCATCAATTTTTTTATTTTTTACACATATACTCCATAATTTCAACTTGGAAATCCCCGAAGGAGAGAAGTTACCACGATTGGATGGCATCGACGGTTTCACAATATCTCCAAGGCCTTATTTTCTTCATCTAACGCCGCTAATATAAATGAGTTTCATTAAAAAATACAATAAAACTAATATAATAATTTATTTGTAACTTATATGTAATAGTATTTAATTGTAAAAATGATTTAGGAATTTATTTTATCTTTCGATAAGCAAAACTTCATATGGCTTTGGTGATATTGTCAATCCCGGTTGTGGATCAGTTTCTGGTAAATCGTTACTGGATACGGGGAGTAATTTATAATTTTTCATTATACCAGCAAATAATAAAAATATTGCGGATCTGGCTACCGTTTCTCCAGGGCATCTTCGGTGACCTAGAAAAATATAAAATATAATTTTTATCCAAATATTAATAATATTTTTAATTGCTATCGGAAAAGAATCCATATTTGACTAAACTAAAAAGAAGAAAATAGTTTTTAAATAGTTTAAAATAAGGATAGAGTAATTAACAAACAATGCATATTATGTTAAAAAAGCGTGGTGCACTTGATCTCAGTTGCTGTTAACATTAATGTATTGACAGATATTGATAAAAAGTAGAGTCATTATAAAAATATCTTAAAAAGCACACGATGCTATTTATCCCTAATTCTTATTTTAAACTTACTGAAAATTATTTTTTACTTTTTAGTTTCGTTTTCTATTAAAGCGTGTTTATTAGTTTTTTAAAATGTTTTTTCATATATGTTCATGTTCATGTATGATCCGAGCAAGATAAGTACATTTAATTATTAATAAATACATGATTTCAAAAGATACGTTTAACTTCACGTTAGCGAAAATTAAAATTATTTTTTAGAAAATTCATTATGAAAGTTATATTTGTTTTAAAAATTAAATTTAAGGATGAAATTTATGATGAAACGAACTTTTCTGCATAGAGACTATAGATGATCTTAGAAAATATTTATACTGATTTATATGAATTACCCATGATCAGAGTGTATTTAAATATTCACGATTAGATATGGACTTTTTTCACATATTACAAGTATTTTATTATAATAAAAGTAAATATAATCTCACCACCACCAAACAGAACAAGTTTTTTGCTCGGAGTATAAACATTGTCTTGTATGAATCTCTCCGGTTTGAATAAGTGAGGATTTTCAAATATTGTACTATCTGTATGAATACTATATACATTCATAAGAATACAAGAATTTTTTGGTATTTTGTATCCATTAAGATATGTTTCATTTAACGCTCTACGTGGTCCAATTATCGGAGTAACTAATCGAAGTCTTTGAGATTCTGTTATTACAGCTTCCGTAAAAGGCAATCTGCAATGAATTATGTATCTATTAATTATATGCTATGAACTACTTATAGATTAAGATGAATTTAATAGTGATAAAAATTTAATTAAATTTTTGGAATTCTTACATTGGTCTATCTGATAATTGAGGAAGATAATTTGTTCCAATGGCAGAGTCTAATTCATTATGAAGTTTTGATTGAACGTCTTGATTGACAGTCATATATAAAAAGAGAAAGTCCAAAGTAACTGTAGTTGTCTGGACTCCAGCAATAAATATATCGATTAATATCATTAATAACTGATCCTCTGAAAATATCCTTCATTTTAGATTACTTATTGCAATTTTAAACAATATTTAAAAGTTAGAAAAGATGTTATTTTATACCGGTAAATCCTTCTTCGGGTCCATTTTCTTGGTACATTTCACTCAAAAACATGTCTATCAAATCGTTCTCACTACCTTTGACGTATGCTTTCTTATGCTCTTCAATTGTATCCATGAGAAATATTTTTAATTCGTTATTTAAAGTGACTAGTAATTCATAACCAGAAGTCTTAGGAGCAAAGTGTCGAATCCAAGGAAAAATAGACAACATTCCACCAGCAATATCGAATGCTTTGGCTCGCCTCTCCATGAGATCGAGGAAGTATAGTAATCTGCCGGAAATAAAAAATATCGATGTAATCGGTTGTTACCATAATAATAATATTTATTTGCCCAAATAAACGGGGTACAAATAGCGGACTCCCGTTCCGCATACATAGTATTTACAGTTATCCTTATAATCTATATCTCTTATACTAACAATATAAACTTAATCTACTAACTTAGCCATATAAAAATATTAACAAAATAATTACTCCTATCAACATATCCTCTTTGAGGACCTACTTGGCGGGAAAAAGAAGGCACTGTGTACCAAGAAAAACCGTCTTTTATATCCACACACGCACACCTTTCATTCACACCTTAATCATACCATGGGACCTCCGTTTCCGCTGCTTTACTCTACTATTTATCAAATAACAATCTAGTCCTCCCCCACTTTACTCCAGAGCTTTTCAATTTCAGCCAGCCAAGCCTCTCCTTGCTCCTCATCCCCTAATACTTCCTTCCTCATATCTTGCCACCCTTTTTCCAGTCCATATCCCGAGCAAACTTCCCAAACGTGTTCCCATGTTTCTTCCTCCATTCTACAGACACTACACAGCCTACCTTCTCTTCCTTCCCAATATCTTCCTCCCTTCAGGACATCCCCAAGCCTAAATCTAGCTATTCTCACCCACCTTTCCTCATTCCATCCTTTTTGAAGGTATCTCTCCCTTAAACCTCTCCCTTTTATAAATTTATATTCCTTATTACCTCTCGCCTCGCAAACTTTCTCCCATCTTTTCATTTCCTGCCTCTTTCTTTCCTCTTTCACCAAGTCTTCTCCCCCTCATTAACCCCTCCTCCCACCTCCTTTCCACCTCATTCAGACTCCATCCTCTCTCCTCATAATAATCTCGTCTCTCCGCTTCCCACCCATCTAAGCCTCTCCCTGATCTTATTCTTTTCCTCATTTCCATTCTACATCTCCACCCGATCGTGCCGATTACAGAGGAATCACGATAACCCAGACAGCATATAAGGTCTACGTGGGAATTCTGGAGAAATGGTTAAAGAAGGAAGTTGAGGGAAAAGGGATATTACCTGAAACTCAGGCAGGATTTAGAGAAGGAAGGGGAACTATAGACAATATATATATGGGGCATTCCATGCCAAATCGACCATTTTTGACACCGACCCTTTTCGATTTTTCTGAAATTTTGGTATCTTTCTCTACCCTATTGAAAACAATTTTCAGAATTTTTTAAAATTTTTTTACCCAACCAAAAAAAAATTACGAGTTATTACAAAAAAAACAGCTTTTTTTTTGTTAAATAACCATAACTTTTTTGAAAATTGACTTTTTGGGATGTTTTTTTTTTGAAATTTTTGTCTTCAAATGTACCTTTAAAAAAAAAAAAATAAAAATAATAATTCAGATTCATATTCAATGTTTTTTTTAACTTTTTGGAAAAAAACGAAAATTTCGGAATGATTGACATTTTCGATTTTCGATTTTTCTTTTTTATAAAAAAACTTCAGTATTTTTTGTAAATTCTCTGAAATTTTCAGAGTGGTAAAATTTTTCTTTCTATTTTTTTTTAATGAAAAAAAAAA